TAATTTCTTTTTATATTTAAGTTAAGATAGCCATTGTCGTTATGGCTATTTTTGTTGTTTTTTTATTAATGTCTATTTATGATTAAGTTCAGTAATTGTTAAAATGTATTTGATTTATCACAAATGAATTTTTGTTAAAACAGTTTTATTACAATAAATGCTTAAACAAATAAAAAATCAGAGTTTCAAAATCTGAAATCCGGAATTTCAATAAATGCCTGATTTCGGATTCCAAAACCCAGGAAAGTCTTAATGCTTGGTTTACTAATAGCCGGTTTTTACATTATCCTTTATCAGATCTAAGTAAATATATATATATATATATATATATAATCGGTAGTCATCGAAAATAGCTACACTAAATAAATCAATTATACAAATACATTTTAAAATAAAAACACAGTATCTTAGACTTTAGAAGTGAAAATGATTTGATTTACATATTTCAATTTAGATAAGAACCTAAAATTTGACTTTCAGGTTTAAAAAACAGAAATAAGCATTGTAAAACTAAAAATTCGGATTTTCGGATTTTGAAATCCGAATTTCGGATTTTCGGAATCCGGATTTGTCGGATTTTTGAAGACTCCGGATTTAGTTCACATCACTAATAAATACACACGTTTCTTTTGGTCTTAAATTTTAAATGTTTATTACAAAAAATAATTACTTAATACTACTTGTCGACCAGCCCACATGCTTAGTAAATTTTTCTCAATTTAAAATGTTAATAAATTAATGTATACGTTACCATTTAATTTTCAAAAATTGAAAGTACTCTAACAAAACGATACGAATTTCAATATTGTTTAATTTTGTATAAAAACATTAAATTAAATGTCTCAAAAAAAAAACATACTGTAACGAGCCTGCTCGCCTAGGGGCTAATCCTAGACTGAACGGTCGCCGATGGGATCGAGTAAGTGGATCTCGGCTTGAGAACGGGAAGCTACCCCGTGTCTACACTTAAGTAAAACCCAAAGTCCCCTTTATATATTTATATGCACCGCACGAGGGGCTAAACGGGCGGTCGTGCCTTTGAATGACGTAACTCTGAAGTATGCAACTATAACTATTTATTTATAAGGTAAAACTAACTATACAATATATATATCGAATACACTTCTACCTGGGTCCCTGAGATTGTCAGCTGGTCCTGTAGAAGTGGAGTCGAGCGAACACACACGATGCGGGATGGTAATAGGCGGCGTTAAAGCGTGGTAAAGTGCGTAAATCGGATGAGGGCTAAAATGGTCGTTTATCGCGGTTCGAGGATGGTCAAGTCTCAACTGCTCGTTGGGGTCCGCGCGGAGGCTATTGTCCTGTGTGTTCGCTGTCTCCCCTACCTATTGTCTTATTGATAGATGTCCAGTAAGCGTATTTTAGGACGAGTGGTAACGGGGTGTCAAGTGTCCCCGTTACAGCTGCCCTTCCCCTATCGAGGTCTGACCTCAGACCTAAGTTAAACAAAAGTAAAAGTGATTGTTATGCGGGGAGTGGGGAGAAAGGGGAAACAAAAACAAAAAAAAACATTACAAGGCTTCCTGAAAAGTGAATCAAGTGTCCCCGTTACAATACAAAATACAATAATGTAGTTATTTTTAAAGAAAACCAGTGTCATGCGCTAAATGGATCACCCTGTACTATGAAATATTGGAAAGTGTATAATTTCATGGCTATCATTATAAATTACATAAAATATTTGTACATCTTTTTTAAATTTTGAGTTGTAAAAATACTTTTCTACAATGCCATGGTAATATGTAGGACGTAGGTAATTTGACCTTCTAACAATAAGCCTAGACGTACTTGTCTTCCAAGTGGATGATAAAAAATATTTTAATCGTATTACAACCAAAAAGTGTCTGCATATAACCGATTTCAGGTGTTGAAATATATATATTTTTTCAAAACATCAAGTGTCTCCATTAAAACCGATTTGCTGGCTCACATAACTGTTTTATTTCCTGCTTAACGGCCCATATATAATATCTACGTCATTTTTTTGTTCATTGTAGTGGTTTGTTATCAAATCGTTATAAGTACCACTTCATTGTTAAGTCGTAGATTAGATGTAGTCCAGGTGTCAAACAACTACCTCAAAATATATAACCATTATTTTTATTTCTTATTAAGTCCGAATAAGTAATACAAATCATGTTATACCTACATAGTACTCAACGCAGGTTTCACTAGCTGTGCCTAACAAATTGTTTGAGTTTTACAAAAAAATGTACATTCATTTAAAAACCAATGTTAATTATATTTAATTTAAAACGATGACCAGATCTTTAAATTATTATACAACCCCGAATTAATTGATTTGACGGCTTATCGGATTGGTTAGGATTAAGTAAATGTGTAAAATTAAAATCTTAATCAATCTCAGAAAGTAGCTACCGTGCCTATTTAACCCATTACCAAATTATAATATATTACTTTACAAATTATTAATAATAACAATATTATTATTTGAGCTGGAGATAAAACAAACGTTCAAACCTCGTTGGTTTACCATTTTTTTTTTAAAGGCATTACTAGCATTGTTAATAGCTGTTTAATTGCAATTGTAAACACTGTTTATCGCTTTTTTCGCAATTTACTGCACCGCCACCTTTCTATAGTAAAAACATCTATTAAAACGTACTTTTTATGGAAAAAAACTAAGCTACATAAGACAAGCTTCGGACAAACGAGCAAATTTATGTGCCTATATTATCCCGTCTCGTACAACTAACTTTCTCCATCCTTCTCTGTCCAACGCTAGGTTCATTCAATTAGAACCACTTACCAACTTTTCGACCCTTACACAAGTATACAGAATTATCCATGTTATTATGGACCATAGTATTATATTGTAGCCATGGATTTAATATCCAAGGTTATTGCATATCCCCACTTTATTATATTATCAATTCGCAAAATATACATCAACAAAAATGTTTAAAAAAAATACTAAATACCCACAAAGTGTATCAATCTTACGTTTTCCGAAAACTATGTTTTTTAAAAGACTAATTTGGGAAATGCCGTTAACGAATCATCGCAAACTTTCTCTTTTGTTTACTTTCAATTTGTCCGAATCAATTTATAACGTTTCCAGCTCTAATTCTTTCTTCGTCTCCGCTATCCGGCTATATTATTATCTTTGGCCATAAGGGAGAAAAAATTACAACGCCCTTAAAATATCGTTTTATGATAGAAACCAAAAATGATTCACATATAGTTGTTTTTAAGTCATTTGGGTCAAGAAATTCTAAGAACTCTGTACAAGTCGACGTTTTATAATGCAAGCTCAATATAGGTATTTAAATAATGTTTACTTTTATTTTTTGAACGTGTGAAAATATTTCATATAAAAGATGTCTATATTTTCATTTATATTATATAAACGGTGGAAAGGGAAACGCACAACGAATGTCACAAGTGTTTTTCTAAAGCAAAAAAATTGCGTTTTCGGCAAGGCAAGAATTCGATATTATACAAAAGCCTGTCTTTTTAACATGAGAAAAATAAGAAAAATTAACACAAGATTGTCGTGGTAGTGTTTGATATTTCTTTTGGATTTGAGAGTTAAACGATAAAAACAATTCCCGCTTTGACGGTGTAGTACTTTGAAGCGAGGTTAGGTTGGGTTTAAAAAATTCTTGTTGTACTCATACCGTCTAAGAACTATAATGAAAACATATTTTATTTTGAGAGCCCAATTCTATAAAAAATTGTTTATAAATGACCATGAAAAAATATTTAAGATGGCGGCGACTTATTTTTAAAACAAGACGGTTATCAGAATTCCACGGGGTTATGATAGCTAGACCACTAATCCAAAGTATTAACAATTAAATTAATAACCTACTCAAAACGGGGGCTAATTTATAAGTAACTAGTGGACTGAATCGATATTTCACCTAAATCCGCTTTTGGTTCTTATAGTATTATGTACTTATAGTATTATAGTTACAGTATTATGTAGTATGTTATACTATAAAATATTTAAATATTATATAGTCTTCTTCTTCTTTTTTTCTCCTTGGGTTATTAGACCCTTAAGAACACCCCGTCTCACAACGAAGCCTCTGCCTTTCTCTGTCCAACGCTAGGTTCCTCCAATTAGAACCACCTAGAACCCAACTATTCAACATATTTTGTTATGACATCTTCCCAGCTTATTCTTGGATCATTTCTCTACAGAGTCCTGTTTTAATAGATCACTCAGTGTAACTTATTTAACGATAGCCGAAGTAGCTATACATTTGTATGGAATATTCTTTAAATAACGTATTAGTGGTAAATCTTAGTCAACTAAAAAAAAATCATAAGTCCATTCCCCTGAAAGGGGAGAAACTTTTAGGAACAAAATCGCTTGGCTTCTCATACCTAATGTTGCCAAAAAACAACTGGACATGTGCGCTTTCTAAACTCAGCGGTACAACTAGTGTATAGTTTTATTTGTATACCTAATATAATTGTGTTCATATCAAATATGCCCGAGAGGTCACAGATAAGTTTAAACATGTAGAGAATCTTATTATTATTATTTTACTGTTTGTTTTATAGATATAGAATGTTGGAGTGCGGAACGACTTACAGCTTACTAGGAATAAAATATAATGCCGAAAAAATAACTACAAATGGCGATAGATGTAGGGGATGAAAACAATTTTGTTTTTAAAAATGATACGAATAATATGTTCTGTATAATGTAAAATGTATTAGGTATATGTATAAATCTGCACAAAAGCAACAAATGTGATGATAATCGTAAGTAAAAACTGTTTATTATTAAATAAGTTATAAGTGTTATATTAAATAGGTTTTTAGTGCTACATGAAAATATTATTACAATCAAATAAAAATAGTATATTACATTTTTAGAAGATACACCATCGGTTCGTGGTCTAAGTTATATTCAAAACTCCTCTAGAATTGAGCTATTCTTCATTAATTATTTTTCTATAGTAAATATTATTTCTTTAGTTCCATCGTTCAGGTTACAAGTATTCTTGTATGCATGGATTTCGAAATTGTGTACTCATGTATAATCCTGCCAAACGACACAACCGTGATAAGAAAACATGTTCAGGTGATCTATCTGAAAAATCAATTTTTTTTTTAATTTGCTTGTTATAACTTACTAGTTAATACTCTTTAAAAGCTATTTACTATGAAAAAAATAGTAATTACTTGGGTCTTCAACAACTTCTGGATTATCATTTCCTGTAACAAATACATCAAATCATTATGCATTTAATAAAACCCGGTGTATTTATTTTATAGAACTTAACAGTCACTCATACAACTCCATATTAAAACTTACCTAATACACGCCGACTGATGTTACTTTCTAGAGATTTTCCAGAAACTCTTCCCACTTCTACAAAGGGTTGCCAAATTTGATCCTACCAAATCTACGAAAATATTTATTATATGGCTGTGTAAAGAAGAAATAACAAAAAATATTTTAGTTTTAAGTTTTATTATATTAAATATAATATTTAATATATTATATATTGTTTTTTTGCTTCTTCTTCTTTGATGTACTTTATGTAATTTAGAGTTTGCCAACTTATCACGAACCTCCGAATAGAAACGAGTTTTCCGAAAACGATTTAAAAGTGTTAGAGCTCATACTACACGCGACCGACGTAATGTACTAAAAAACCGATAAAACGACCAAACGTCTGAATTCTAGCAGTAGCGAAAAGTTTAAACATGTTATGATGCGATACGATATGATGTTGGGTTAGGTTAGGTTGGCAACAATGATACATCTTATCACTTTTCAGATAGACAGCTATTTTACAAGGCTTAGTGATAACGCTTATCAATTGAAACCAAAATTAGTTCACTTTTCTGACACCAAAAGGCGCTACTAGGGGGCCTGCGTGCTCCACATAGTACCTATGTATAGCTTAATTAATTAAAGTTTTAAATCGATTTTTATAGTTTTTCATTAGAACTACAAATATGTTTAATTATCAGTATTTAAAATTTTATACTTACTTTTTGTAACTCTTATTTCTAGTTGCGTCATAAACTGACCATACATGGGTCCTAAAATCAAAACAAAATATGTTTTAATGTACATTCATATTATTTATCATTGAAACCAAAATATTATGTTGGTACTTGTTCCAACAAGTACCAATTGATTCAATTTTATCACTTTTATTTATAATAATTCCTGTAGACCTGTGACCTCTCCGTTTCTTCATTGCTTTAATTACATTATGTCTATATTCTACTGTACTAGTCCTCTCGGATAAAATCACTTTCAAATTAACGCTTTGATGCTCATTTGTAAATACAGAACCTTAATTTAAAACTTTCTTACTTTGCTGGTTATACTGTGCTTGGTTTGGACTGTACTGGCTTGAAAATACTAACTACCGATTTGCATCAAAGCGTTTTTTCGAAAGTGATTTTATCACTTTCAGATTTAAAAATTCCTGTAAACCTGTGACTTCCCCGTTCCCACTATGCCCCGACCCAACTATGCTCCGTCCCCACTATGCCCCGACCCCACTGTACTGGTTTTTTTTAGACATGTTAAATGTCATTCCAGGCAAAAGCATAATAATTATTATACGTGTATTTCATCAAGCCTTTAACGAACCCATAATTTATTTCTTGTGGTTTTATTTAAAAAAAGCCTTATAAGAACTCCGCAAAGTTTATTGTTAAGTCACTTATAAAAATCAATTTAGATAATCAGTCTTAGGAATATCACTGGTTTTATGCTAACCTGTGTCAAGGTCGCGAAGTACAATGCACAAAGGATAACAGCACTTTTGAAATGCATAATGGTTGTTTATTTTTCAAATACTTTGTTAAACCAGAAGTAAGTCTTCAACACCTAAGTTGGGTGAACGGTGAAATTAGATTCGACTCGGGGTGTCTTTTATATGGTGCAAATGATATAAACAACATAATTTTAGAAATAGAAAATATTGGTAGATAGTGGTTTTTCGTTTCATTTTATTTACATGCTACACACTTTAAGTAATGTTTTCGACCCAAATACAGTTGTAAGCACAGTGTAACCTAGAAAAACACTGTATATTTACTTTTGTGAAATGGAATAACAATATATTTGTATTTTTTTTTAATCGCACAAACACAATACAGCGAACGACGAATGTTATTAAATCTTCATAGAATAATATTATTCGTTTAAATAAACAAAATAATTTTCACACGCTATACTTTGCGATTACATGTTTTACTCAAGGGATGAGAAAATCCTTCTAAAATAGCGAACGATGAACGTTATTAAATCTTCATTAGATTATAAATGTTTCCAATTTATAAATACTTAAAAACTAAATGGAAATATTTTGAAAATTAATGTTAACGTCTTTCGATTTAGTCACATATTCACAATTTCTATATTAAACCTAACAAAATTAGTTAACGATGTTGAACCGGTGGGTAAATATGCGTACTGTCGGTTCCAGTGGGCTTCTTCTTCCATTCCGGAAAAATCAGAAGGTCGCTGATTTGGGTCCTTTGGGACTGCCGGTATGCCAGATTATTTTGGCTGAGAACAGACTTGCTGATATCGCCAACGACGGATATTTTTACATCTCATTAAGGCAGGGTTATTTTTTTTTTTTGTCAAAATTAATTTACCAAGTATTAAATTTTGGCAGATTCGTGTAAATACTTTCCGGGTTACTATGATTGCGGTATCTAGGCAATATTTGTTTGTTGTTTTTACTTTTTCGGTTATTTTGCGCGGCCTGTGGCATCTGCTGGTTACTAGGTCAATGATGTATTTTTAATCCGGCCGGCTACAATAGTGCGGGGTGCATGGAATTTTACCGGCTCTCTGTACGTATGGTGTGCGGCGAGATTGTGAGGTGAGGTGACGGTGTGTTTGCCAACCGGTAACCCAGAAAATAACTGCATATTTACTTATGTGAAATAAAATAACAATTTATATTTATTTGCTTTACATTCGCTTAAAAACAAAAACAATATAGCCATCGATAAATGTTATTAATCTTCATATAGTAACATTATTCGTTCAAATAAAAAATAATAATTTCCATACATTATACTTAGCGATTACATTCATTCAAGGGAGAAAATCCTTCTAAAATGTGTACATAGTCACCAAACTTATGTAAATATTACCAAAATTATAATAAATTGTTAGATAGTTGATTTTTGTTTTAGTTTATTTACACAAAACACGGCATATTTACCTATGTGAAATAAAATAACAATATATTTTTATATGCCAAACATTGCCAATATAGCAAACGTTGAATGTTATTAAACCTTTGCATAATATTTCGTTGCCGTGATTTAACCAAAACGGGGCGGACATTACTATTTATAATGTGCTGTGGTAACTAAATTGCTATGAACTTATACGAAATACTCGTACGTATATGATTTATAGAATTTTGAACACCTCAAAAATAAATTCCTGGATCCACCACTGTGCATTTGCAATAACTATTGTGGCAGCACAGGGAATCGTGTTGTGACGTCGGGAATGTAGCTTCGGGAATGTGTTATATTTAAATTAAATTTAAAAAATGTTTATATATATAAAACAATTTTAACTATTTCATTTAGTAACAAATATAGTAATAATAATGATAAAATAAAGAATAATTTAGTTTACTTTAATTGAAAAATAAAAACCAACAAAGTTTTGAGTGGTATATTTTGTTTTTTTTTTTAAACATTTAAAACTAAATTTTAATTTACTTAAATTAGACGAATTAAACAAAACTACAAAAATTACTTGTAGGTAAGAAGCTAACACAATCTTTTAACCAACACATAAATATAATGTGTAATCAATCTCTTTGTGCATTTGGTTTTATAAGGCGCAATTGTTCGGAATTTAAGAATCCGATTGTTTAAAAATATTATACTTTACTCTGGTACGTTCTATACTAGAATACGGTTCAGTAATTTTGAACCCATATCAAGGTGGTTTAATAAATAAAATAGAATGTGTGTAAAATAGGTTCTTCCGGTTACATGCATTTAAAACAAACAAAATTTGTTAACTCTTGACAACTAATGAGTCAATATGGTACTGTCTCACTCGAAAAAAGAAGGAAATTACATGATGCATCTTGGTTGTTTAAATTACTGAATTCGTAAATAAAGTACCCTGACTTATATACAATTAGACAAATATCTTTAAACGTTTAATAATAGTTTAGTTTACATGATTTCAAAAATAAAAAACCAACCAAGTTTTCAGTGATCTATTTTGGTTTTTTTAAACATTTAAAACAAAATTTGTATTTACTTAAATTAGATGAATTACACAAAACTAAAAGTATTACTTGTAGGTAAATAGCTAACACGAAAAAGATTAAAGCTAATAATTGTTAGAAAATTTTGCCGACTAGATTAATTTAAAGTGGTGCTGATGCTGTATCATTCAACCGAACTCCGAGTAAATAGTAAGTAATAAATAAACACATAAAGATTATGATTCTATTTATTCACAAGCAGTATTCTAAGTCAATGGAAGCCAGAAAACACGGTAATAATGTGATTAAATTAGAAATACAAAATAGTAGATACTCACACAACGTAGAACCATAAGCCGCTGTCAAGGGCTGCTACTAAAAATGTATAATAAATGATTAACAGGCAAAACAAAACTCAATTGTAACGCAAAGTGAAACAAAATAACAAAACACGACTCAATACGTTAGGTATTTATCACAGAATTCGGCCAAGTTATTATGATTAAAATCTATTGATTCTCACGAATCGGACCCGTAGCAACAATGCTGAAACAAATTGTTCCTATGGCACTAAATCTAATTTAACTAGTAATAATTCACAGAAATTCAGTGTACAAAAACTCAATTATTAACAAAAAGTCAAAACAAAACTTGAATTTAATAAAAATGGTGCTATCTGCACGACAACGCTGAAATTTTCTAAACAGATTTGTGATAGTGTATGTGTGATAACGAGTGATTGCCACAGGTTGAGGTACACAACAGCGTGGAGGTAAACTGTCGCGCGTTTTAGGAGGCAAACGGTTCAAATTCTCAACTCCGGTTTAAAAGTTTGTTGTAAACTTACCTTCATCGACATCCTATAAAATGTATTAATGTCTTTACCTAAGTCTTTATCCGTTTTGGAAACACCTTTCGCTAATTCTGTTAGAATACATAGGCCTACACTTGTAAAATTAATATTTAATACAATAATAACAAAAAAAATAGGTGTTAAAGAAAGTCAGTACAGTTGGCTTAGGACATAGTGGGGTCTACAGGTCTACGAGAATTATTAAATACAAATATCGATAAAAGCATTGCACCAAATGACAGTTATGCTCTTTATCTGGAAACCTGGAAATTTACCAACGCCAAATCTAAGATTTCCTCTTTTTTTGGAGTTTTTTCTTAATAGAAAAAAGTTTCACTGCAGATTTTTGAGAAAATTTTATGTCATAGCTTTGTTCTAGATCTTTCTCCGGTCTAATTTTCAGACCTAAGTCCCTAAAACTTTGGTTGAAAAAGTGAAAAAAGAAGAAATGTCTATCTCTTTTAAAGGAAAGGGTTTATGATATGTTTTGGTTTTGTCAATGTTTATCGGTAGGTAGTAGGTACTATGTTTAAATAATATTCCAGATTTGTGAAATAATATTAAGATGTTCTAGCTACACAACTATTAAAATTTCATGTATTCATATTTTTATTTTGTGACCTCACTATACATATAGTTTTGTACAATTTTGAACATTCCTTCTACCCCAAATTGCATATCATTTTAACTTTTGCAATTAGAACATTGCTGAATTATATTTTTTACACTTGCAATAATTGGTAAAGTAAGGGAACCTAAAAATGTATGCATCAGGTCATGAATAATTTGACTATTTTATTTTTTAATTCATTTAAACCCTTTTGAAAACAATATATGGTTTTATTATTGTTATTACTTTTCCAAAATATATATATATAGTTTCTTACACGAAAACACAGTTTAAGTGTTATTCATTGAAATAAGAAGCAAACATATTATTTGTATGTGATGTTTTGTAGCGGCTTGTCCAAACAGTTT